CATATAAAATTACCAACTTAAAAATTAGCCAGCTACTTTTTGTCAAAAGTTTAATGAACTCACCCCTAATGCCTTGGCAGGGCCTCACCAAATTATTTTGGGTCCTTAGCCCATGACCAGATGATCCCCATACCTGAAGGAATGCATAGAGTATGTTTACATTAATATTTTTGAACTTTAGACAAAGTTGAGAGTAAGATACTTTTGAGACATCTAGGCAAAGATGTTTAATAGATACTTCTATGTAAGAGTCTGATGCTCATAATGGAATTTTGGGGGGATATATTAATTTGGGATTTGTCAACATACACCAAATAATCACAACTATGCTAGTTGATAACATTGCCTAGGTTGAGAATGTAAAGTAAAAAAAGAAAAGTTTCTAGATAAATATTGAGATTATTTTTTGTTTAACTTCTTGACAGAGGTCAATGAGCTGGCAAAGGAACTGAGAAGGTAGATATTAATTGAGATCCAGGAAACTGTTATTTCAAGACACGTAATGCTTACAAATTAGTTTCCACTTAAAAAGAGTGTTCAAAAGTGGTTTTCATTGGCCACTTTGCTAGACTGGGAGTTTGAGTATATGAAATATTGAATTTCCCAAAAACAAGAAAATAAGATACACCTAACAGTAAATGTTTATCAATTGTTATTAATGTATGATGATTCTATGGGGAAAATGTTGCATTAATATTGGTAGATTTTATTTCAGAATCTGAAAGAGCAGGTGAATCAAGTTAATCACATATCACAATGCATCTTAATTTACTCAATTAAGTCTTATTCCTGATTGAACAGAAAATACACTAGGCCAGGTTCTGAAGGGATAGGTACAAAAGGTGGAGGGTAACATCTCAGAGGAGTTTCATAGTTCAGCTCTAACACAGGTTTTATTTAGGGGCTAAAATTCAACCATAACATCTTTCTGCTATGGAATTTTTATTAAAGCCATACTGATAGTCTTGTACTACTAAATATATTTGAAAGATAGCTTTCTGTATATTGACTTTATTTTACCAATTGTTAACCTATAGTAGCCAGTTAACAAAATCCTGATATCTGCAAGCCTAATTTTTTTTTTATTGTTTAAAGTCTTACATGTCTCCTTCTTTCCCGATTGACTCCCTAGCCACTCCAACCATCAAGGGCAAGCCCCCGCCGCCCCAGTATCTGTGTCCATTGGTCATGCATACAAGTCCTTTGGTTGATCTCTAACACTCCCCCACTTCCCCTGCCTTTTCCCGAGGTTGGACGGTCTGCTCAGTGGCACCTTGTCTCTGGATCCATTTTTGCTCATCAGTTTATGTTGATCATTATATCCCACATATGAGTGAGATCATGTGATATTTATCTTTCTCCGACTGGCTTATTTGGCTTAGCATAATGCTCACCAGGTCCACCCATGCTGTTGCAAATGGTAAATGTTTCTTCTTTTTATAGCAACATAGTATTCCATCATGTAGATGTACCACAGTTTTCTAATCCATTCATCTGCTAATGGGCACTTAGGCTGTTTCCAGATCTTAGCTATGGTAAATTGTGCTGCTATGAACATATATCTTTTCTGATTGGTGCTGATTGGTGTTTCTGTTTTCTTGGGATATATTCCTAGAAGTGGGATCACTGGGTCAAATGGGAGTTCCATTTTTAACTTTTTGAGGAAACTCCATATTGTCTTCCATAGTGGCTGCACCAGTCTGCATTCCCACCAGCAGTGCAGGAGGGTTCCTTTTTCTCCGCATCTTCGCCAGCACTTGTCATTTGTTGATTTGTTGATGATAGCCATTCTGACAGGTGTGAGATGGTGCCTTGTTGTTTTGATTTGCATCTCTTGGATGATTAGTGACTTTGAGTTTGTTTTCATATGTCTCTCAGCCTTCTGAATGTCCTCTTTTGAAACATTTTTTGATTGGATTGTTTATCTTCCTTTTGTTAAGTTGTATGAGTTCCCTATAAATGTTGGAGATTAAACCCTTATCGGTGATAACATTGGCAAATATGTTCTCCCATGCAGTGGGCTTTCTTGTTGTTTTGCTGATGGTTTCTTTTGCTGTGCAGAAGCTTTTTATTTTGATGTAGTCCCATTTGTTTATTTTCTCCTTAGTTTCCATTGTTCTAGGAGCTGTATCGATAAAGATATTGCTATGACATGTCTGGTATTTTGCTGCCTATGGAGTCTTCTAAGATATTTATGGTTTCAAGTCTTACATTTAAGTCCTTTAACCATTTTGAGTTTATTTTGTGTATGGTGTAAGTTGGTGATCTAGTTTCATTTCTTTGCATGTATCTGACCAAATTTCCCAGCACCATTTATTGAATAGACTGTCTTGACTCCATTATATGCTTTTCCCTCCTTTGTCAAATATTAATTGAGCATAATAGCTTGGGGCTATTTCTGGCTTCTCTGTTGCCAGCTTAATTTTTATTTGTTTTTCCCATAAAAGAATGTGCAGCAAAATAGTCTAAATAATTTACTTTTACATTTTCAACTTAAGTTTATCCAAATTATCTGTTTTCTTCCTAGAGAATAGGAATATGAATAAACTACAAATAATATAAAGATTCTAACTTTTCAGATATATCTCTTTGCAAATTTTTCTTTGCTCCTGAGTCAGTCACTTCCAACGCGGAGCAGCGGTGGCGGC